GGGTCCTGCGCCGGGCTCTGACAGGTGACAATTTTCCCATCCTCCTGCATGTTTCTAGGGCTCTCCATCCTGTCTGGCCTATGCATGTGGTGCTTCCTCTGCACACACATACCATCCTCCTCATTTCTACCCCACACCAACAGGAAACCTAGATAAAATCTTCTCCGAACCACAGCGGGCTGCAGATCAGGCAGAATGCCAAGCCCTACAAGTTGCAGGCTGCCTGCACGAGGCATCTCTGAGAAACTGCAAGTGCTCCTCAAGCCCATCCTCCTCCTCCAGGCACACTGGGGTCAGAGTGAGCTTTAACAGCAAGGGGCTTATAAGAACATTCGCTGGTAGCAGTGAGGGGAAAAGCAACGCATGCAGCTCCCAGCTCCGGGGGCAGACCCAGCCTGCCTGRACCCGCTCCGCTTTTGACACCAATTGCCCTTGACAAGCGGGCTCATAAACAGGGTGCTGCCACCCCACACCACTGCCACCCTCCGCCTTGCCCTTCTGCACAGGCCTCTCTCGCTCCTTCCCGGCTTCCTCTCACTCCTTCCCKGCTTCCCGCACGTTGCAGCCTGACCTACTTCTGCCTCGCTCGCTGGCATCAAGCGCGGGGAGGTCTCCGAGCGCGGCCGCAAGCGCTGCCCGCCTGCTGCGGTGCAGGGCCCCGTGGGAGGGCAAGCAGCGGCATGCAGGAGCATTGGGATGCAGCATCCGTCAGGTTTTGGATGCTGATCCCCGTTGAGAGCAGAGTTAATCAAAAAGGGCCATCCTAGTGAAAGGGGCAGCAAGAGGCTGGGGATGGTTGTTCAAGGGCCGCTCGCCTTCCCCTCTCCACGGGGATTTACTTACCACAGACTTCGTGGCAAACAGGTACTTGTCCCTGAGCTGGAAGTCCTCCACCTCTTCCAGGATTATTTCTTTATTTTCTCGGGTTTGGAAGAAGTCAGTGCTGCGAATGACAGTGGAGGCCCCAGAAGGTTCGTGCCGCTCTATGTACACCGTGTTTGGCTTATCCAAAGGCTCCACACCCCTGGAGGAAAACAAACAACAATAACAAAAAAAAGGGTGTTTTATTATATGCACACTGTGTCAGCTGATCACTTGCCAGAAATTTGGGAAACCCCAGGGAAGAGGGAATGGATCTGATTTATGGAATGCAATCAAACATATCTGTGGAGATGCCTCGCTGTTTTATCTGGGTCTCTGTGTTTCTCGCATTAGCTAAAGTCGAGAGTAGTTAGCTTGGAGATCTTGCAATCTCTGATTGTTTAGTTCTGTCCCTTCTTATATGACCTTGAAGGGAGGAGCTGGAAATCTAGATGAAACAGCCAGTTTGAACGCTGCAAGGCTTGTGGTTCAGCTACAGAGATGGTAGGGATAAGGAACAGAGGGGAGCCAAGCCCTGTCCCTGCATGGTTGAGACAGCTGACTTGCTAGAAGGCAATTTCCCCAGAAAGATAGTGAGCACGGGACGAGTGGTTTTCCTAAGAATGCCAAGGGACAAGTCCCTGCAATGTCCCACACAAGGGAGATCCGAGTGCGGGGAGACCCCTGGGAGGGGCTGTCCGGGCATCTCTAGCAAGGTAGTCACTGGCACTATGTCATTTACTATGGGTTTGAACAAAGCAAGGAAAACAATCTGCTAGAAGCCCCTGCCCTCTGTTTTGGCATCACAAACCAGGGACCACCCAGGCAGGGGATGCTCAGCCCCTGCTGCTTATCCCCTGCAAGGCTGCAAGGGAGCCAAGAGCTGGAYGCTGCAAAAGGAGACGCAGGAACCCCAGCGTGCGGCACGTACCACGAGAAAGACTTCACGTGCTCCTGAATCATTATCCAYGTCCGGCCAAAATCATCTGATTTCCAGAGCTGCAATTACAAAGATCAGAGATACGCGTGGGACACGCATCCTGCAGCCCTGCCGGCCACAGCTGATTTCAAAGCAGACTGCTCGAAAACACAGTGGCGAGCAGGCGGTCAGCCCAGCCACGGGCCCCTTCCGCAGGCACCAGGCCAGGGGTGCAAGCCATCAGTGCCCTAAGGAAAGGGCAGAGCGCCACGGAGCGAGGCCGGCGAGGGGGCTCACCTGCTTGTTGGGGTGCGAGCGGTCGAAGCCCAGGACGAGGCTGGGGCTGCGGCCATGCAGGAGCAGCTCGGCCGCCCGGAAGGGAATGGCGAAGCCCTGCACGCTGTGGCAGAAGTCCGTCGTGATCCAGAGGTACGGGGCAAAGGCGTCCACAAAGATGTACTGGGAAGAGAGGGAAYGGCGGGAGGTGAGGGCTGAGGGGACGAGCGGTGACCTCCGTGTAGCTGAAACCTCAATAAACACTGTTCTCCGTACTGACACGTGCAGACAAGTGAGTTATTTCAGTTTACCCTCCTGTTGTCAGCGGGGCTGTGGTAGAACTGGGCTATGGCCACCTCGCTCGTGTTCCCGCTGCTGAAGCTGAATCGCTCCGAAATCTTCTTAAAGCTCTTCCCGTAGTCGTAGGACACGTAGACCTGCAAAGGAGCAGTTGCGGCACGAGGAGCACGTGTTTCCCTACCTGGCTCTTCCTGCTGTTTATGGATATTTCAGGAAACTGTGGCAGGGAAGCAGGTGGAAGAGGCCACAAAGCAGCGGGATGAAGGAAGGGCGGCCGTCTCCAGCGCTGCCACCTCTCGTGAGCATCACTGCTCCTTATGCTCCAGGGATCTGTTTTTGGGCAGCACTACAGCCGGATTTGCAGGAGAGCTGGGAGGGAGGCGTAGGAGCACAGCCACTATAATGACTCCCGTTTTTTGGCCCACTCCTGCCTCCTGGCTGCCACTTCCGCATGGTCAGCAGAGACCCCAGGCTGCTGCTCCAGCCCGTCCTGCTGCCCAAGGCTGCAGTACAGGATGAATGTCTGTCCATCCTGTGCCTGGGGGACTGGAGCCACAGCGATGCCACCCTCCCCATGGGGCCAAGGAGCCACCAGCATCCAGCCACCAGCACCCCTCCGGATGCGCCCACTTCGCACACTCACGTCACTGTTCTTGGGACCCAGCAAGGAGAGGCTGTCCCTGGCCAAGGCCACGATGACATTGCTCTTCTCGCCCGCCCAGTGAACGACCATCTGGTTGTGAGAGTCATTGAGGCTGACCTGCGGACCAGGGAGAGGGAGGCAGAGCCGTGAGCGCCGCGCTGGGAAGAGCGGCGCCAGGGGAGGCGCTGGCAGAGCGGGTGCAGAAGCACAGCGGTCACCGAGGAGCAGGGACAGTGCGAGTCCGGGCTTTGCAGACCGCACGGGAGGGCTGCACAGCTCAATGGAGAGGTGCTTGGACACATTAAAAGCAGAGTTCAGAAATGAGCCCCGCTGCTGTACAGTGTACGGTGTACAGTGTACGGTGTACAGTGTGCACTACCCGGGTGCTGCTGCGAGCATCCTCGTGCAGGGGAGCGAGACCAGCACAAAGCGGCTGCCCTTACCCTAGACATTGCTGCACTCCCCAAGCCCACTGCTGCCACCAGCTGGGGGGCCAGTGGGGTCCCCCTAGGTATTTAATTTAATACATTTTACTACAATTTAATTTAAGCTACCCAGTGGCTGAGGTTAAGAGAAGCCTTCTGTATTTGAGCAGCACCTTGCTCATTTACCATGTAAAGGCACCAGGGAAATGCATGTGTCTGAAAGGGGGGTAGTTTTCCTCCTGTTCTTCCCCGACACAATAGGGAACAGAGGAGAACAGAAGCTAAAAGCTGAGGACAAGAAGTGATCTCAAATCCAGCCTGAACATAAGCAGGGCCAGATACAAAAGAGGATCCCCTTTTGTGCARCGCTCATCCTGAGAGCGCAACGCTGCTTTCCCGAATGTACCTAATCCCCACAGCAGCGATTCCCCCGTGCAAGCAGCAGCATGTGAGTAAGGAAGGGCTGGTTCCCATGGGGAAGCCCTGGCAGGGATGCTGCAGCCCTGAGCACCACTGCAAGCCCCACTGCCCCGCGACCAGCTTGAGCTCCCCCAAGTGACACGTAAACCGCAGGGAGAAAAACAAGGGTTTTATTCTGGGGAAGGAGGGGGAGGCAGCGAGTGAGGCACGAGTCTGCAAATCCCTCTTATGTAACAGGTTCACGCACAGCAGAAGCAGAAAACACCAAGCAGAAAGCGGCGCCGGGTGGCATGGCTCTGTCCCCAGTGTCACCAGCCACGTCACTGCTGGTGGCCCCAGTCCACGCTGCAGCAGCAACGGGCCAGGGCACAGGGAATGCAGTGAGATGCAGGAGCTGCAGATGCTCCACAGCCCTGAGCATCCCCGTGCCTCGCCTGCCCCGAGCACACTGAGCTGCCAACCGGGACCCTGCTGGGATGTGGGTGCTTGTTTTGCCCCAAGGATGTCACCCTGCTGGGATGTGGGTGCTTGTTTTGCCCCAAGGATTGGGTTTTCTTTGCTTATTTTCATCCCGGAGGGCAGGGGAACAGAGTAGGGGCAGAGGGCAGTTGTGCGAGATGGGAGCAAGCAGCCCTGCTGAGGTGCTTCTCCTGAGGGAAGACCTTCAGGAGGGAAATTTTCCTGTTTTCCCTAAAGAAAGGCAAAGGCGAGRTGTGTTGGCAACTTTCCGAACAAGTCCCTAGGCCAGGAGCAGCGTGGCACCAAACCCGCTGCGTTTTYGGCAGCGTTTTGCCTTTTTTTCTGCAAAAAACGTGATGCCGGGGCAGCAACAAAGGCGTAAAACCCATGGGATTCCTCCCCTGGCCTTTTTTTAAACTCAAAAAGTCTCTATTTCTTTTTTTTCTGGGGCCAAAAAGGGCATATCCATTGAAAGGAAGGGGCCTGGAGCTCGTTAAGGCCAGCTGTGCGCCCAGGCCAGCAGCTGGGGACAACCTGATTAGGCTCAGGACACAGCTGGCCCTTGTTAGGGACACAGTCACATGACCCCAGGGCAGCCCATGGGCACCCAACCTCCATTTAGGGGCTGGATGGCGATGGGGTAGGGTCTGGTCCCTGCAGGAGCAGGGAAGAGAAGCTGCTGCTTAGCAGGAGCTGTGGAGCAGCTCCATGCCACTGAATGGGGCTTTTTTTTGCTTCTTTGAGACTTAAAGAGTTGTTGCCTGAAGGATGCTTTGCCTCAAGGATGCTTTGCCTTGTAAGTCTTTGGGTTGGGAARCCCAGGTGTTCCCCTGAGCCAGGCTTAGGCATCCCTGTAGGTAGAAACCACCACCTGCTGCTAATGGTCTCATTAAGGTTCTCCTGGGCTTGAACAGTAACACGGCTACCAAGCAAGGAGCTGTGTTTCTGTTCTCCAGCTGTTTCTGCTGGTAAGGTGCCTTGTGTCTTGTTTATCAGGGTGTTTGCTACACAACAAGCTCCGAAGAACACTTTGAGCCCAGGCTGTTGCGCTCTCAGACATGAGAAGCCCTTCTCTGCTCTTGGGGATGCTGCGTTGCAAAGCCCTGCACCTTGCATTGTGGCACCTTGCCTGCAAACCGGTTTGACCGATGGGCAGGCGATGGCTGTTGCTTAATGGAGACAGTATTCAGTGCAAACTCCCCTTAATGGGGATGTTTTTCTGGTCTCTGCCAAGTAATTAAGTGTATATGAAAAATGCATGAAGKTCTAATTTGTCCTCCTAATATGTGAGGTTCCAAACAAGGTCCAGGAGGGGAGAATTGAAGSCAAGCCAGAGCAGAGGCTGCTTGTATATGTAGTTAATGTAGAGAATGCTGCTAGTGTGGCTCAAGGTTTTCTTTTCTTTTAATAGGGGCTTCCTTCAAGCAGATCTGCCACCAAAACGGGACAAGAACGGGTTGACCGGAGCCAGTGTCGTGCTGGAAAGTGCTCCAAAGCAGGTAATTGCTCGYGAGGGTTTAGGGGACATAGCGAGGGCGTGAGTACTCCCTTCTTAAAAAGGGGGTGGGGGAGAGGATCATGTTTTTAGGGCTCCTGAGACACGGTAAGTGCTGCGAGTCTCCTAYAGGGATGTCCTGCATAGGGATGGTGGTACTGTGGATGTGGGGAGATATGCCRTGCTCTTGTGTGTCTCTGATGCCCTGTGCAAGAGCCCCTTCCCATCAAGGACCTCTCTGTCACTGGGGAGCTCTAAAGACCTGCCTTTCCATGCGGGGTGCTGTGTTTCCCCAGACAGATATCACCCCTTCAGCTGCAAATAAAAGCCTCGTGCACTTGCTGACTGGTACTAATGCCTGACACCCATAGCAATGACAAATATTAGGACACCATTAGGACTACTCTGGCACTCAGTGGGTTTAGGGTGAGCTGTGTGTGCCTCYGGGTTGGTTTTGCTGGGAATCAGTAGTTCAGCTATGCAACTGGGGCYGTAGGAAGGGTGCCTGCTGCTAATAACAAGGGATGGGTGAGAAGCCTTGGTGGCTGTGGCTCAATGTCTGGCAAAACGTGAGCTGTGCAGGGAGAGATCACTAAGGATCACTGTTGTCTTCAGGTTTTATGGGAGGYCTCAAAACAGAAATAGTTCCTAGGTGTTTGAGTGATTAAATAAGTGGCTGCTACCAGGGCTTGAGCAGTGAGCGTGCTGGAGTTTGACAGGGCCGTGTGGCTTTGAATGCCCAGACTGTTAGTGCTGCTTCAGGCTTGGATYGCGGCTCCGGGTGGAGAAGAGCTCAGGGTGCCCATTGCCTCCCCGCAAGGGTTACACAAGAGCCCGGCCGTGCGAGCGAGCCGCGGCGCATGTCGCATTCGGGGCACGCCGCCTTGCGCGTGCCCTCCCACCAGCGCTCCACTGCCTTCTGCTCCGAGCGTTGCTGCCCGCTGTAAATACAGCCCGCGCCGAGAGACGCCGGCGCCTCAAATCACTGACATGGAACATGGGTGACTCACTCCAGAGAATGCCAGGTTAATTTTGTCAATACTGAAATCTGGTGGCTTTCTCTGTGCCACCACCAATAGAGCTGCTTCCAGGACAGAAAAGGTATCAGAGAGGGGAAATGAGAGCAGAGTCCAGAGCTCAGTTTTTCCAAGGGATGAGCACCTCCCACAAGGTGCAGTTCCCAGAGAGTTGCCTTCTCCTTAGCTTATACTGGGGGGGAGCAGAGGCAGCTTGGGGTGAGCACTGGCAAAAGCGATGGGGCGATGGGGAAGGGTGTCTCCCCGTGGGGGTCTGCAGTGAGCCCTGCCGCTGGCAAGCGCTTTGGCAACTGAGCGCACGCGCTGCCGGGAGCCCGGCCTGGCAAACTAGGTCAGCATTAAGTATGGTTCATTTCCAATGGAGTGTAATCGATTTCTCCAGGCACGTAGCTGGATGCTTTCATCCTGCCAAGCATGCTTCTGTATCCCCTTTCCCCAAGGAGGACTCTGCTGCTTGGCAAGTTGGGAGGGCAGCAGCATGGATGGCCTGTCCATCCCAGAGGTGCTCATGGCCTCAGAAGGCAAAGGAGGGCTCCCGGCTCCAGGGCTCGTGTTCTGGGCAAGGAGCAGCGGAGCCCCAAGGGAAGCTCTGCCCCGAGCTGCAGCAGGATGCTGCAGAAGGCCCCTACTGCAGGGCTGTTTGAGCTAGCAGATAAGCCGTGTCTGGAGGTGTTTTGCTTCCCCTGCAATCTTCATGCGAGCTGTGCAGCCGAGATGGAGATGATGGTATCTCCTGCTTAAAGTCAGTGTTGTTATTTTAATAGAAGCTGAGTTTTTCCCTGCTGATTTGAAAAAACAAGTTTCTTAGAGCTTGCTGAGTCTCCTCATAGGGGTGGTGGTGCTTTAAATCTGATGCAGGCTGCAGCAGTGCTTAGTGCTCCAAGTATTAGCAGCTGAGGGAGTCATGTCAGGTCTCCGAGTGCGGCTGGGCACAGCAATGTCACTGCGAAGGCAGGTGGGGTGGCCAAGGGTTGCTGTGCCCTTATGCAATGAGCTGGTAGATGGCCTTGAAATAATGAAAACCTGGTCCTTTTGCTCCAAGGCGGGATCACTTATCACCAGGAAACAGCCAGTTGGAGAGGGATGAAGCATATCCCCGAGGGAAGGAAAGGGATGAGCTGCTGCTAAGCCAGGCAGCGGTGCCTGCAAGGAGGGATGGAGAGGCAGGGGATGAGGGCTGTGCAGAGGAGCACGCGGGCAGCAGGGCTTGAGGCCCCACAGCAAGTGCTGCAGAGCACAAGCTTGCAGGAGCAGCCAGAGGCTACATAACTTGTCCTGGGTCCCAGGTGGGCTTTAATCAAGGCTTTCCTGCAAGCTGTGCAGCTTTGGGGGAGGTTTGGGAAGGGCCTTGCAAGGAGGGTGCTGCTAATGAGGGGGAGGGCTGCCTGTGCTCTTGATTTTGGTATTATGGCATAGCAGTTGAAGTTCTCTCCCCTAAATCTTGGCTTTCCTYCTGCCTTCAGGACAGGGAGACGCCTGCTAAGCTCCTGCACTGGCACTTCTCCTCGGTCTCGCACCGGCTGTGACACTYGTGGGACACGGACCTGCAGCGTGACAGAGGACACTGTGACCCAGCACACAGGTAGGCAGCTCCTGCAGCAATTTCTCTGTGACTTGTTCTTCTGCATTCAGCCAARTCCTTGCAAGCTATACGGTTTGTGGCTGGTTTTCTCCAGGAGGGGGTGGGATTTAAACAGGGCAGTTGAGACATTTTAAGTATGCTCCTGGAGCCTGGTGCTTGCATCTAGGCATGCTTAGCCAAAGCAGGGAGCTGTTAAGCAAGGTCTGCAGGTGACTCGATGCCTCGGTGCTGTTGGGGTTCGTGCTGTCAGGGGAGGCTCTGTGTAGGTTGTGCTTGGCTGCATGGGAGGGTTTGTGGCAGTGCTGGCCCTGTGGGATGTCCCCAGCAGCCGTCTCGTCCTGTGGCTCTTATCATGGACTGCGGCACCCCAGACCCGAGCTGCAGCGTGCCAAGTGCCTCATGGAGGCTCGGCCTCCCTGTTGCRGCTCTGGAGTACGAAAAGCTGGAGGGGAAGGGACACAAAGGCATACGGGGGCTGGCTGCTGGGCTCAGTGGTCRCTGAGGCCCCACTAAGCTTTGCATGCAGAGCAAGGAAGAGATGGCTTGCTATGGTCCTGGGCAGTCTGCGTAACCAATTGCACCTGTGGCCCTCTCAATGGGGTGAGGGTTCTGCAGGGCTGTTAGTGCTAAGCCAGCTGTGTTGGGCTCTCGAGGAGCTGGATTAGTGTTGCCTCGGTGTGCACCTTATTCCTGGCTGTTGTGGTGAGTCCCTCTCATTCTTGTCCCCCGCAGCGGTGACAGGAGGCACGGTCCTCTCCTTGCTGTTCCCTTCATCTTTGCTTGGCCCGTGTCGGGACCGCGAGCCGGAGGCTGCACGGGGCAGGAGCCAGCTGGTGCCATATGGCCGTGTGACCTGCCAAGCACAGAGCGGCGCGGCGGCCCGATGAGGGCTGCACGGCCCGGCGCCCCTCTGGGCACTTGGGTGCTCCCTCTGCAATCTCCCCCCTTCGCCATGTTCCTCTTCTTGGGGCTGCTTTTCCAGCTGCACAATGTTGGGACGGTGTTGGAGGACTTGGGAGGGACGGGATTTCTCGGTGCTTTTGACAAGATGTGCAACCTCGTCCTCTGTGCTTGCAGTTCTGTGTGGTTGGATTTGTAAGGGAGGCTGGGGCATGCCACCTCCCTCCTTCCCYGATTTTCATGTTTTTTTGAGACCATGACTGAAAATACAGATATTTGGGAGCAAAATAGGAACACTGTTGTGCCTGAAAACACTCAAAAAATGTTGTGTTCTGCTGATAAACTTCCTGGCAATGTCTGGTACCTGGGTTTTAAAATTCCTGCTTTGTGCCCCAAAGCTGTGGAAAGGCAAGTTTTTGTATTCGGGTCTGAAACTGTATGTCTCGCTGTTTGCAAGAGTGATTCAGTTCCCCAGGCAAATCTCCCTTTTGAAAGCTTAAGGCAACAAGAAAAGACCAAACAGAGGCAAACTTTGATGTTTAACTCCCACTGCTTCCTATTTGTCCTATTCTGGATAGTGCTGGGATTACGGCAGCCTCTTAGATTTGCTGCTACATGTCAAGGCTATGGAGGCTGGTGCTGCCAAAGCAGCTTTCCACCTGACCTGTTCAGGTGGGTTATGTGAAAGCCATGGGGAGCTGAAGGGAAAATGCTATAAACATCTCAAAGATGAGACAAAAGTGGGAAAAATGCCACAAATACCTTCTCAAAGATGAGATAAGTGTCCTGTTACTCCTAAAATAGCATGGCTGAGTTCTCTTAAAACCAGTTAAATGCTGGGGAAAGAGGAGGTGAAGCAGGTTGTCAAAGCAGATAGGAAGTCCCTGGCCTATAAAACGAGGGAATGGGAATAAGGGGGTTTGGAGCAGCGCAAATACTGTCCCTGCACCTCCAGGGCAAGCTCTAGAGCTTGTCCTGTTGGGTAGAAATAAGCAGAATTTGCAGGGCCTGGGGAGAGCAAGTGCAGTTGGCTCTGAGGATGCAGCCCMCCTCCCCACTTCAGTGTCACCCCCGTTGGGGGCTGGTCCTGCTCCCCCTGCACAGCCTTGGTGGCACATGGCAGCAGGGAGAGGGGTTAAACGGTGCACGTGAGCACAGTCCAGTGCAAGAGGCATGGGTGACACRAGCAGTGGGAACCCTATTGTGCTGACACCTCGAAAGTGATGCTTATGGGGGGAAAKGGGGCGCAAGGGAGCAGGGGCCAAACCTGCTAGGGCTAATGCAGGACCTAATGTGCAAGTCTTTGCGAYGAGCGACTCCTCTCTCCTTTCCAAGCAGCAATGGAAGACAGAGCAGAATGGCAGCGTAGCACGGAGCCCCTYGCACGCAGCAGGGGACGGTGCCCGGCCACGAGCCATTTCTGCTGCAAGAATCCGCCTCCCTCTGCTCGCTGTGAGCGGTGAAAYGTTCCCACAAGCACCTCCAGCTGCACAGATATAATGCCACCAACCTGCCCGTCCCCAGCCCCGGGCCCCCGTTGGGCAGGTAGTGCGGGGAGAGCATGGCCTGGCACCCGAGCGCGCGCTCTGGTTGCTGCGCAGCCCTGGCAGGCACGGGCGGGCGAATAAAGGATGCAGAGCGGGTTAGGAGTCGCGCGAGGCGGGCGARCAGCAGGGGCTGGGGTGGCAGCGAGCAGCARCCCTTCTCCTCCRGCTGCGTGCCCTCCTGCGCAGGGGYGAGCGTGCGGCAGCGCGCGGGCAGTGTGGGTGCTGGTGGCCGTGCCAGCGACCTGCCTCCTTGCGCAGGTGCCCTCCTCGT